AAACAGTAATGAAAACACTAAACTTAAAAATACCTTTTAGCAGGGTGGTGGTGGCATTCACTTTTAATCCCAGCACTCAGGAGGTAGAGGCAGGTGGATCTCTGTGAGTTTGAGACAAGCCTGGTTTACAGAACAAGTTCCCGGACAGCCAGGGCTACAGAGAGAAACCCTGTCTTAAAAAATCAAAAATAAAATAAAATACCTTTTAAATTAAAACACTTTAAAATTTGAAATTATTATCACTTATTTGAACAATTTCTGCTGAGGGCCCAGTGAGTCCTTTGGACGCAAACCTCTGTGAGCTCAAACAAATTTTCTGCTATCATTTCTTAAATTACAGTGAAAATACATATTACACTTCCCCAAAGCCCCATGTCCCATTTCAGCCATGTAGAATGATTCAAGCCAGCCAGCCCTGGATTTCCCCGATAATCTGGAAGGTCTACAGCCCTCTTTTAAACCATAAGGAAGTCCTCAGCCCAGTTCTTCATGGTCAGGCGACTCTCACACAACCTTTGTGTCTTTGCTTTGCTGTCTTTCCCGGCTGTCAACAAGGTAAGCCCCCTTGATGGCTCCAAAGCCCAAGAGATCAAATTTCCTCTCTCTTCTTTTCCAAGTTCTGTTGAAGCTGGAGGAGACAGTGAGAATCACATTCAGAGATGTGTTAGGAAACCATACTGACATTTTTTTTTTGTTGTTGTTCCTGTGTGGTTTTCTGAATGTTTCACTTCAGAGTTTTTGGAACTATCTCTAATATCACTACTGTCTTCATTATCTTTTAAATTTGGTAATTGTGATAGTTTTACAGTTTTGGAGCATTGGTAGACACAGATTTTCGGCCACACAATTTCAGTCACAAAATTTCATCTGTGAAAGTCTGTTTGTTTGTTTGTTTGTTTGTTTGTTTGTTTGTTTTCAGAAAATGTGAGTTAAGTTTTGTCCGGCTTTGGCAAATTTAAGGTTTTAGCCTGCCTTTGTCCAGGACAGTTAGATATATCTACCTTACCTACCCCTGGTACCCATACATGTGCATGTAGTTCATCAGACTGGATATATCATCAGATTGTGGGCAATCACCACCAAAGGTTTTGGATATAACCATCCATAGCCTCACAGGAATGGAAACGTGAGGTTAGCATTCATCACAGAAATGGATAAGGAAAGTCAAGGCATTAGGTAGAGAAAGACTGGTGTTTTATGAGAGGTTCTGATGGGTCTCTCAGTAGAACTTACCATAGACATAGTCATGGCCGATTTTTCTCTGCCTACATGGGAAGTGACTCATCTCAGGCTAATCTACTATCTGTTAGAATATTAATATGGCTTCTGTTTATGTTGTCGAGGTCATGCTCCTAGAAGCTACTGAGTAAAAGTTGAAGGTCCAAAGACTTACGGTCAGGAGTTGGTTGCCTGTGGAGACTCTTCAAGTCCATGGAGGAATAAAAAGAGTGTGTGTGTATGTGTGTGTGGCGGGGGGGGGGGGGGGGGGGG